TCCAGTACTTATATATATATATATATATATATATATATTAGTAATTGATAAAATAATTACAATACATTATGAATTTGAGTTTAAAAAAGGTGTACCACTTAAACAATAAATTGTAATTTGAAAATTTAATGTATATGATCTAAATTTAAAAACTTATGCAACTATACAAAAATTAATACATAATTTACAAAAAAAATAATTTAAGTTCTAAAACATTATAATTTTTGTATTTAACAAAAAATAAATATTACATTATCTCCTATTACTGATGCATCAACTTAAAAGATCAACCTAGTGAGCAAGCTTTATCCGAGAACTTTGAGTAAAGTTCGACTTATCGCTAATTATCATTCTTAACTGGCATACACATTAATACATGTAATAAAAACGCAAAGTTTAGATAAGGTAATGACTCATGAGCACTATATATGGGTGTTAGAAGAATAGCATATTCAAGATGCAAGTCAGAGAGGGTGGAGATGAGAATTTCACGATAAGGCATCAAATTGAAAGAGAAACATACAACAATATTTCAGCATTTAGCAAATTAATGAAATTTATATGAGAGTGAAAAACAATAATGTCACCTTTAGCGACAGAAGACAACAATGAGTTTGCAATTAAGGTAGGACAAAAACATAAGACATAAGCCACGAAGATGCAAAAACATAATCATGCAGGGAATAAGGGCAACAAATATGCAGTAGTCAAATAATGAGGGCTAAACTCCATTAGAGAAGCACAAGCACCCAAATGTAAAAGTGTGGTTTTAATTGTAAGAAGGATGGGCTACCAAACCAATTGAATTTCACGGTGGAGAGAGGGCGTTGAAATCAACTTTGCTTTCTCCATAGACCATAAGAGGGGGGAAAATCCAAGTCCAATTGAAGTGGGAGGAACATAAAAAAAAGTCAAATGAAGCTATTGACGGGGAAGGGGAAAAGCAAATAGAGATGAGCATTGGAGAAGAATTACATACGGAAACGAATCCCTTCCTCACGTAATTGATATGGCTGCTGGAACAGCGGCTGGAGCATTTCGGCGGCGGCAGCAGGAAGAAGATTGGAAATGTTAGGAGGCAAATGCCGATGGTGATGGGCGATGGATTGGAGGCGAAGGGCACATGGACGTATGAGTGATTGCGAATGTGATTTTAATTTTTATGGGCCGAGGAGGGGAAAGAAACGTTGAGAGATGACGGTTGGGGGAAGGAATTGAGGGGCTGACGTGGACAGCGTGAATGTAGAGAATGGATTACGTGGCATGGGTCAAAATTAGAAAGGCCTTTAATATTTTTATAGATAGATAGATAGATAGATAGATAGATAGACATATAGCTCGGCCATGTCCGTCGCCACCAAAAACCTATACTAATAATTCAGATTAATTGCAAGGTTAGTCACTAGGTTTACTAAAAACGTTCATGTTTGGTTATTACAAATATTTAAATTCATTCATAGCCACTAAAATTAGTTCAATAATTCAAGTTTGGTCACTCTCCGTTGGTCTCCGTTAGTTTTTGCTGATGTGGCAGTCAACTATAATAGTTGATCGTTAAATGACTGACGTGGCCATTAAAAAATATTAAAATAATAAAATTTAAATATTTACAATTTTCATCTCATTTTGCAACTATTAAAAAATAAAAATCAAACTTAATTCCTATTACAATCTTGAATAATACCATTGCAAGTCGAGCGATGGAGAGAATGAATATTTTTTATTTCAAATTTTATTTTTAAAATGTTAAATATTCTCACTTTGATGATTAGACCTTTTTTCTCTCTTTTTTTCTTCTTATAGCTTGAAAACAATATTAAGAAAGTTTTTAGGTTTTTTTTTTACTTAAGACCAGAATGTTATCCACCATTAGTTCATCACTAACTTTCATTAGGGTGATGTGATGATTTTGGTTTTTGTTATGTAGAGCATTAGTCCATCACTAACTTTCATTAGGGTGATGTGTGATTTTGATTTTCATTATGGAGAGGGCATCTATTATCTATGCTTTCAACGATGTATCGCTTGTTTGTTTGTGTTGGGGGTATCACTAAAGGAGCCCAAAGGAGGGCCCAAGAGAAAGCCCATCCAGCTGAAAGTAGCCCAAGGCAATAGCCCAGGAGAAGAGACCCACAAAGTCCTTTGGGCAGCATGGGCATGGAGACAAAGCACTAGGAGCCAAAGAAACCCAGGCTGGCACGTAGTCCACCGCCTATGGGCGCCTGCCAACAGTCAGAAGCCTGACAAGGTGGTTGGGACTTCTAACATGACTGAAGGTACAAAGCATTTAATGGAATGGTGACGTGGAGGAGATCTATCTCGAACTGGGTGAGTATAAATAGAGGCAGTTGGTAGCATTTACACAGGTTGGACTCTCTGACTAAAACTAGAGCTCTAAGGACACTTCTCTCACTAAGATACTGACTTGATCGTCTGAGGGCTCACGGGACGAGGCGCCTCCTCTGTGTTGGTGTGTGTAGGTTGGCGCAGGGCGAGGAAGGACGCGGGCACGTAATTCGGGCGTCGAGGCACAAACAATTGGCGCGCCAGATAGGGGGATATAACCGAGAATCATGAGTGTAGAGGCGCCTATGAGTGGATGGGGAGAAGAAATTACGGAAGATCAATCCGAGCGGAGGAGAGGACTGACGCCCGAGATGGATGAAGGTGAGGAGAACGACGGTATGTTTCAGGGGTCAGAAGGCGCCTCGATCACCAAAAAAGAGTTATTTGGGATCATCGAGGATCAGGATAAGGCGATCGAGGCGCTTCGGCGGGAGGTTGAGGCCTTGAAGAGGGGGGAAGGGATGACGCCCAGCCCGACCTCGAAGAAAAGGGAAAGGATGGCAGAGGAGGAAAGCGAGTCCGGGCATCTGAGGCATCCAAGTCAATGGCGCCTAGGTACCAGTGGATGGGACGGAGGGATCCTGGGGCGCCTATCGCGTCACTGCTCCGTGAGGCAGCCCCTAGCGCGGAACATACTAATGGAGCTTGCGGGAACCAACCTCCCCCCACTCCCAACTTATGACGGGACAACGGACCAGGATGATCACTTGAATGGATACTTCACCAAGATGCAGCTTTACAACAGCTCAGACGCTACCCTGTGCAAAGTGTTCCCGTCAACCTTCGCGGGCGTTGTCCTTGACTGGTACCACCAAATCGAAGAGGGGTGCATTGACTGCTTTGAGCAGTTTGCGGCGATGTTTTTGGCAAAATTCGCCAGCAGGAAGCGCCGCTCCCTGTCCATAGGCGCCCTATTCAAGGTCAAACAAAGAGAGGGGGAAGCGCTGAGAGAATTTTACGAAAGATGGCTCTCGGTAGCCTTGGCGGTGAAGGACGCCCAGCCGTCAGTATTGGGAGTGTGCTTGAACGAATGTACCACCAGCGAGGAGTTGTGCAGGGCGCTGGCAAAGAGAGACGTGGTATCCACGGAAGACTTGGATCACCGAGTGCAGAAGGTGATCATGCTCGAAGAAACTTTGGCGGCCAGAAGGGCAGATAGGCGGAAGATGAGGGGAGAAGAAGTTGAGATGACGAGGAGACCGCATCCCCCGAGTGGATCCGGATATGCACCCGCAAACCACTCCCAGCCGAGAAGAGTGGACACCGGGCGCCTGGCGCCCAGGGGGGCAGGGGCCTTCGCGGAATACAATGACACGCTGAAGAACGTACTCCAGCACGTCAAGGAGAAAGGATATCACATCCGGTGGCCGGGCCCCATGAGAGGACAACCCAACGAGCGAAACTTGGACCGATATTGCAATTTCCACCGGGAGGTGGGGCATCACACGGCTGACTGCTACCAATTGAAGACCGAGCTGCAGGGCCTAGCGGATAGGGGAATGCTCAACGATTTCATCAAGAAACCTGAAGAGAGGACGCATCGTACATGCGTAGCAGGCACAGAGCAAGGGGCGAAGGAGCTGCCACCCCCGCCCTACACCCTCGACCAAGAAAAGGCACCCAAGCGAGTACGGCTTACCATTGAGTCCATTTTTGGAATGGTAGATTTGAGGGAAAAATTAGACGCAAACCGCCGACTGAGAGCCGCTTCGGCCGATGTACAGGAGGCTATCGACATCAGTTTCAACAGGGCGCCTGAAGAGGCGTGCATGCTCCCATCCATGGACGCCTTGGAGATACAAGGGGTGGTGGCAGGATGCAAAGTAAAGAGGATGCTCGTTGATACGGGAAGTTCCATGAATGTGTTATTCAAGGATACGGTGGCCCGCATGCAGCTGGCGTCGGAGTTGATCAGACCATTGGAGTCCGTACTGGTCGGATTTTCTGGGGCGCCCGCCAAGGTGATAGGGAGAGTGCGCTTGCCTGTCACTTTGGGTGACGGGGAACAAAGAGTGACACACGCCATCGACTTTGGGATAGTGGACTGCCCATCGCCATACAATGCGATCCTAGGGAGTCCCCTCCTGGCCTTGTTCAACGGGGTGGCCTCCACTTGTCACCAAACCCTAAAGTTCATCGCTCCACAAGGAGTGGGGGTAGCTCGCGGACTGGGCGCTCCGCGTTACGCGAAGGAGGCTGGGCGCAAGCGACGATGCACCGGAACAAGGGTCAATGTGCTTGAAACCGTGTCGGAAGAGGCGCCTCGGGCCGAAGCTGCCGACGAGGAACTTTTGGTGGCTTTGGACGAAGGGCGCCCGGAAAGACCGGTGAGGATATCGGCAGAGGCGCCCGGTGAAATGAAGGAGCGTCTAGTAGCTCTTCTAAGGGAGTTGTCACGACCTTACTCTTGGTCGTGCGGCCCTAGCTCTCAATTCTGTTAGAGATGCTAGACAGCCTTCTCACAAGCTCTCAAACTCACTCAACTCACAAGAACAAGACACAAGAAGATGGGAGAAACTCTATAGTTGTATTGCTCAAAAAAATGACGGATGAGTTACAAGTGAGGGAGATGGATCCTTATATAGGCCTCTCCTCATACAAAGCATCGATGCTCCTCATAATGATCCTCCCCATTACTACACCCTATTAAGTTTCCCCCATAATGCACACCATTATACCACCTCATAATGTGGCTCTTTATGTGCACCATTAAGCTCATATTCAAGATGGAGAATCCTAGGAGCATCCTATGCTACTAGGTCTTCCTTAATGCCACACGTGCTTGACTTGGTCATGATCCGCCACATCATTCGCCATGTCGCCCGCCACGCGTGACATCCTCCCCCACCTATTCTCGCGATGCCCTCATCGCGTCCTTGCTACGAAATGCCTCCATCGACCTCGAGCAGCCTCTCTCGACTCTTGAGCCTCGTTGGTGACATTCTCCTCCACTCAATCCACGACGCCCTCGTCGTTGCTCTTTTGAAGACGCCTCCCTTGCCTTAGCTCCATTGCTTGCAAGGTCTCGTTGCACCTTCCTCCAAACCAAGGATGACCCTGGCTCGCTCTCGAGCCTTGTGCTCCCATGATGTTGCGCACTCCTCCGCGGTCTTCTTCGTCGCGTCTTCGAGTGTCCCGCTTTCTCGATCATGGTCGCCTTTCCTTGCTTCTCCTGGCAAGTCGAAGATGATCCATCCTCGTCTCTCATGGCTCCACAATGTTGTGTACTCCTCCTTCTCGTCCTTCTCCAACGAGTCTTTGAGTGAGCCACTGCCTCCACCATCGTTGCCACTTGCCTTTCCAAACACCTCTTGTTTAGCTCGAGTTGCTCTCTTGTCATGGGAACCGATCTTGCTCCGCCATTGATGCAGAATCTATTGGCGTATGGGAACGGGAAAGCTTTCTCCCGCACCATGAACTCCATGCCGATGATGACCTGATAATCATCCAACGACACAACCTCAAAGTCCGCCACCCCGGACCATCCTCCTAGCTTGAGTGGCACCTGGCGCGCTACTCCATGAGTTCTTGTGGCCCTTGAGTTGGTAGCCTTCATCCACCCTCTTCGCTTCTTCTAGTACTTGATGCCCAGCCTCCGCGCTTCATCTACGTCGAGAAGGTTGCAGGTTGCCCCGGTATCAACCAAGGCTTTTGTCTTCCTTTGGTTGAGCTTTGCCTCTATGAAGCATTGAACGTGTTGCTCGGGATGGGGAGGCTCTTCCGTCCGCTTGATGGCGCTCAATCTCTTCATGCAACCAATCTTCGCGACATGGGGCTCCAATCTTGGAGTCGCCTCCGCTTCCTCTTTCGAGCTCGAGCACTCTGCTAGTACGGCCTTCATTGCTGACAACTTGTGCTTTCTTGGGTAATCTCTCACACGATGCGGACCATCACAAAGGAAGCAAGTAAGTGGTTTCTCAACCTTATGACTACCTCCTTGGTCCAGTCTACCACGCCTTTGTGTGTCTCTGTCATAGTCGCGTCCACCTCAATTGCCTCCGAACTCCATACGTTCCTCCGGCTCGTGGTACTCGACTAGGGACTCGGTAATCGCCATTGCCTCGGCAAGACTTTGCACGCCTCGCCGTTGTAGCTCCAACTTCGCCCATGGTTGGAGGCCGTCAAGGAAGGTGAACATGGCCTCCTTGTCGGTGTAGTCGTGGATCTCGAGCAACAATTCAGAAAACTCCTTCACATACCCTCGAATCTCTCCTTCGTGAGCAAGCCTCCTTAGTCTCGACCGGGCTTCAAACTCAACATTCTCTGGGTAGAATTGCCTCTTGATCGCCCTCTTGAAGTCATCCCATGACTCCATCACGCACGTCCCTTTATTGATATCGCCTTGGGTCCTTCTCCACCACAGCATAGCAACATCACTCAAGTAAAGAGGTGTTGTTTTTACCTTGGTATTCTCATCTCGAATACCTAAAGCTTCGAAGTATTGCTCCAAGCTCCATAGGAAGTTCTCTAACTCCCTTGCATTCCACGACCCTTGAAAGCTCTTTGGTCTTGGAATCTCCATGGTTGAGGCAGGTTGTGCGATGGCAGGTCCGTTAGCCATGGCCCTCTTCACAAGCGTCACCTTGCTTTTGAGCTCCGCAACCTCCTCCTTCAAGACGGTCACCTCAGCGGCAACCGCCCTCCTTCATTACCTCAATGGCATCGTTCATGGCGGTGGAGATGGTGTCTTTGATGAGAGCCATGAGCTCATCTCGAAGCCCTTCATTGCCAACCTCCAAACTCGTCACTCTAGCCGCCACACTTTGAACATCGCCTTGGATTTGGGTGAAGTTAGCTCCCAAATCCTCCATGACAGTGACATCTTCGGAAAGCTTCACCTCCATCCTCGAGACTCGCCTCTCTAGAGACTTGAGAGGATCACGAGTGCTCGACGTACCTTTTGACCTTACGCCCGGAGTGGGATCTCTTCCACGTTGCTTCTCCGCATCGTCATGGACTTCTGATCCAGCCATCTTTGGTGAGGTTCTCGCTCTTTCTTATCTTCCTTCTTGGGGAGTGAGGACACCGGTTCTTCTTTCAGAACCACGCTCTGATACCAACTGTCGTGGCCTTACTCTTGGTCGTGCGGCCCTAGATCTCAATTCCGTTAGAGATGTAGGCAGCCTTCTCACAAGCTCTCAAACTCACTCAACTCACAAGAACAAGACACAAGAAGATGAGAGAAACTCTATAGTTGCATTGCTCACAAAAATGATGGATGAGTTACAAGTGAGGGAGATGGATCCTTATATAGGCCTCTCCTCGTACAAAGCATCAATGCCTCTCATAATGGTCCCTCCCCATTACTACACCCTATTAAGTTTCCCCCATAATGCACACCATTATACCACCTCATAATGTGGCTCTTTATGTGCACCATTAAGCTCATATTCAAGATGGAGAATCCTAGAAGCATCATATGCTATTAGGTCTTCCTTAATGCCACACGTGCTTGACTTGGTCATGATCCGCCACATCATTCGCCATGTCGCCCGCCACGCGTGACATCCTCCCCCACCTATTCTCGCGATGCCCTCATCGCGTCCTTGCTACGAAATGCCTCCATCGACCTCGAGCAGCCTCTCTCGACTCTTGAGCCTCGTTGGTGACTGAGTTCGCAGAACTTTTCACATGGAGTGCTCTGGAAATGCCAGGGCTCGCTCCCAAAACGGCCGTGCTAGGTTGGCAGTCGATGAGGGCAGGCGCCTAGTGCAGCAAAAACGTAGGAACCTATCGCCAGAGAAGGAGGCGGCGCTTAGGGTTGAAGTGGACAAGATCAGGTGCGCCAATCTGGTCGAGGAAATTGCCTATGTCACTTGGTTGTCGAATGTGGTCTTCGTGCCGAAACCATCAGGAGATTGGCGAATGTGTGTGGATTATACGAGCCTCAGCAGAGCATGTCCCACGGATGCCTACCCAATGCCCCGCATAGATCAATTGGTGGATTCTACGGCGTATCATGAGATGCTAAGCTTCGTGGACATGTTCTCGGGATACCACCAGATGCCCATGGCAGAGGAAGACCGTCCAAAGACGGCCTTCATGACACTCTTCGGGAACTTTTGTTACAGGGTGATGGCATTCGGGCTTAAGAACGCGGGTGCCACCTATCAAAGAATGGCCAACAATGTCTTTCGCAAGCAAATCGACCGTAATATGGAAGCCTACGTGGATGATTTGATATTCAAGAGTCGTAGACGCGAGGATTAGGGGTGGAAAACGGGAAACGGGTATTTGGGAACACCCAAACCCGTCCCGTATTTCGAGGGTTATGGGTACCCGTAATACCCATATTATTTACTACGGGATGGGACTTGGGATGAACAATTTCTAGATCGGGTACCTGTGGGTTACCCGCAAATCCCATTTGGGTATTTTGGGTACCCGTAATACCCATTAAATCTGTCATTTGTTTGAATTGGATTACCTCCGTTTGCAGCTAGTGGAGGTGGATCTTCCACAAGTTAGTACTACAAGGTAGTGAAGTAGCTAGCAGAGAAGGCACGACCTTCCCAAGGTAAATTTTGTCCCTCCCATTAGACATTCATGTGTAGGTTGTTGGGCACTAATGTAAATGTAGTGAATTTAGGATCAATATTACAGAGGATTTGTACTTTTATTTCACTCACTCTCTAACACTCTCACACGGCAATTAATATTGCCTTTTCTCTCTTACAGTAGACAACAAAAATGGTTGTCTTTTTCTATTGCTAGCTCTCTGCCTATCTATTTTACACAAGCCATACACAAGCTCTGTTACATATCACAAACCATACACAAGCCTTCTATTTTATAATGGCTACTAACCACCATTGTGCAGGGGGTTATTTATTTTATAAATTTATAGTGACAGCTATGTGTCGACAATTTATGGGTAGATTGGGACATTCGGGTACCCGTTATCCGTCCCGTATGGGTAATGGGTACCCGTTAACACATACGGGTTTGGGATATGGGATGGATTATCTCCTTCAAATGGGAATGGGAACCCGTTCCCGTCCCGTTTTCCACCCCTAGCGAGGATCGCTTGGAAGACTTGCGGGAAACGTTCCAAGCCATGCGGGCGCACAGGCTACGCCTCAACCCCATCAAGTGTGTGTTCGGTGCCGAAGCAGGGAAATTTTTGGGATTCATGATCACCAAGCGGGGCATTGAAGCCAACCCAAAGCAGGTGGACGCAATCCTCAGACTTGCACCCCCGAAGACGCCCAAAGAGGTGCAAGGCTTGGCAGGAAGGTTAGCGGCCCTGGGGCGCTTCATCCCAAGGTCCGCCGACAGGGCCGCTCCCTTCTTTCGAACGCACAAAAAGGCGGTGCGTTTTCAATGGAATGCTGAGTGCGATGGAGGGTTCGAAGAGCTGAAGAAGCTCTTAGCCGCCCCGACCGTCATGACGGCGCCCAAGGCGGGTGAGACGCTGTACCTTTACATCGCCATATCGGAAGTATCGATTAGTGCAGTCCTCGTCTCAAGGGAGGCCCCCTCCGGAGAAGACAAGCCAGTATACTATGTTAGTCGCACCATGGTTGCCCACGAAAGGCGATATGCACCCATTGAGAAGGCCGCGTTGGCGGTAGTAATGGCAGCGACCAAGCTAAGACCCTACTTCTAGGCGCACACCATCATCATGCTCACCAACTTACCATTGAAATCCACATTGGGGGCGATGGATGTAGCCGAATGCCTCGTCAAGTGGGCGGTCCAATTAAGTGAGTTTGACATTCGGTATGCACCCCGACCAGCAGTAAAGGCCCAGGTCCTGGCAGATTTCATTGCGGAAGGAGTAGCAGAAGCAGAACGAGGGGTAGATGACTGTTGGCAAGTTCAAGTCGATGGGGAGGCCAGTCGCACCGGCGCCGGGGCAGGCATTGTAATTATAAGCCTGGGGGGCGCGATGCACGAAGTCGCATTGCGATTTGCAGCCCTAAAGACGAACAATGCCGCGGAGTACGAATCAGTTATCGCCGGCATGAGTATGGCCAAAGAGCTGGGCGCCCATAAGATTCAAGTTATGTCCGATTCAGCCCTTGTGGTTAATCAACTCAATGGAGTCTTTGAATTAAAGGAGGAGGCGCTCGAAGGATATGTGAGAAGAGTAAAAGAAATGGGAGCCTGGTTCGGAGAAACCTCTTTTGTGCACATCCCCCGGGACGAGAATGCTCATGTTGATGCCTTATCCAAGCTAGCAACCGCAGTGGATTTCACAGAAGAGAGAAAGGTCATAGTCAAAGCCGAGGCGCCCCATGAGCATCTAATTGCTACCCTCGGTAGCGCGGGGGCCACCTCCGGTTGGATGGCGCCGATCGAGTTGTTTTTGACCCATGGTGTGGTGCCTGATGACCCAAAAGAGGCTTGGCGACTCCGCCGAAAAGCAGCACGATGTGCCATAGTCGAGGGAAAACTGTACAAAAGGTCTCACGCGAGAACATACTTGAGGTGCCTGAACAAAGAGGAGAGCAGGGAGGCAATTGCAGAGGTCCATAGCGGAACGTGCGGCATGCACGCGGGGGCGCGAAGCCTAGAGAAAACTCTGCTAAGGAAGGGATCTTTCTGGCCAACGATGAGAAGGGATGCAAAGGCACACGTGGCCACTTGTCACCAATGCCAAGTGCACGCCAACGCCATTCATATCCCGGCGGCGCCCATGCAAGGTAATGTGGGAGCCTGGCCTTTCGCTCAATGGGGCATGGATCTCCTGGGCCCATTCCCCAAGGCGCTAGGCCAAATGAAGTACCTGATAGTAGCAGTCGACTACTTCTCTAAATGGATCGAGGCAGAACCTCTGGCCACAGTCACAGAAGCCCAGGTGCGAAAGTTCACCAAGAAGAATATATTCACCCGCTTTGGCTTGCCCGAGTCCATTGTCACAGACCATGGGAAGCAGTTCGACTGCAAGAAATTTGTCGAGTTTTGTGACGACAATGGCGTGGTGCTCAGATTTTCATCGGTGGCCTACCCACAAGCAAACGGGCAAGCTGAGGGGGCTAACAAAAGCATTCTCCACGGATTGCACACCAGGTTGGCCGGCGCCAAGGGAAGATGGGTGGAGGAGCTGCCAAACGTGTTGTGGGCTCATCGCACGACTTACAAAATTTCCACGGGGGAAACACCCTTCGCCCTAACCTACGAAAGCGAGGCCGTAATCCCAGTTGAAGTCAACCTTCCAAGTTACCGTATCGCCAACTATGACCCAAATGGCAATGACGAGGCACGAATCAGCGAGTTGGACATGGCGGATAGTCAAGGGAGGTGGCGGCAATTCGCCTAGAGAAGACGAAGCGCCAGGTGGCACGGTACTACAACAAGAAGATGCGTGCCCATGGCATTACTGAAGGCGCCTTGGTCCTTAAACGTGATTTTCGCCCGGACGCCCGCGAGGGGAAATTGGCACCAAAATGGAAAGGCCCTTATCGAGTCCGGGAGGTGGTAGGCCCAGAAACATTCAAGCTAGAACATACTGATGGCAAGGCGGTAAAAAGAACTTGGAATGCACAAAACTTGCGACTGTACCAAGAGGGCGCCTCTACTTGACCAGTGACGATGCAAGGCAGTAGTAGTAGTAAGTATGTCTTTACAATAGCCAAATGTGTAAACACGCTAGTGTCATGTCTAAAGCGCCCATAGTAATAGCGCCATGTCATATCTAAAGTGCCCAGCATTATAGCGCCCCGACCTTAACTTCCGTGTTATGTCTACAGTGTTGAAATAGTTAAAGCGCCCCACTTTGAGCCCAATGACTAAGTAACTGTGTGAGTGCCTTGTGGATTATATTACAATGTCCAAAGCGCCCGATCTTGCGCCCTATGTCCCAGAAAAAATGCGAAAATACCCTAAAAACCCTACATAGCGCCCAGTGTTTGCGCCCAATGATTGAGTAACGGTGTAAGTGCATCGCGGTGGTACTACAACGCCCAAAGCGCCCGATCTCGCGCCCCATGTCCAGCAAAGATGTGAAGTTAGCCTAAAACCCTACAAAGCGCCCTATCACGCGTCCGACAAACCAGGCATAACGATGGAGAACTCTATGATAAAGCGCCCAAATCTAGCGCCCACACATATATGCAGAAATACCAAACAAATGGGATTCGGAGAAAGACTGGGAAGGTGAACTTAACATATTCATAAGAATAAACTGTTCATAAAACAAGAAGGAAAACTTAAAATACACAGGAGAGGCAAGTCACAATAACAACATAATTCGGCCTCAGAAGTGGCGTCTGCGGCTTAGTCCTTGGGCAATGGCGCCTGGTTCTCCGGTGGCGGCGTCTGATCTACAGGAGAAGGCGGCGCATCTGCAGCAGGAGTCGGGGGCACCCTTTCTCCCCCCTCAGCACCCATCATGTCGCTGATCACGAACTCGGCCATTTCTGTCACATCCCAAACCTTGTCGGGATGATCTTGATCGAGTTTCCTCTTCAAGATGGTGAGACAGGTGAGGCGGGCATTGGCAAACAGGTTTTTGCCGGCTTCAGACTCCTCGAATGTATCAAGGGAAGCCTTCAAACCCGCAATTTCCTTGCGAGCAGCCCTCAGCGCCTTCTTTTGTTCCCGTTGCCCGTCTCGAAGACTATCCTTCTCCTCCTTAAGGATGTCGATCTCG